AGAGAGAGAGAGAGAGAGAGAGAGAGAGAGAGAGAGAGAGAGAGAGAATAAAAACCAAATCCTAACCTGGCCTAGTGGTGCAGGCCTAGAAGTTCAACTGTTTGGGAGGATGAGGCAGAAGGACCACAAGTTCAAGGTCAGCCTGAACAACTTATCAAGAGCCTGTCTCCAAATATAACTAAGTATACTAACCATGTAATGTATATGGTTATCAGAATAAGGGGAAGAGTGTTTGAGCAGGACACACAACATACCCTCTGGCTTCTGAGCTCATACAAGCATAGGTGCACACACACACACACACACACACACACATCTCATATATAATATGTGTAGTTAAGATATATATATGTGTAAATCCTAGTGAACACAGATGACCAGTTTCACAATATTTATCAACAGCACGCATCTTCTAACATAAGATCTGCCCTATATATTCCATTTATTGACATCATGACAAACATTGACATCTACAAAGTTCATGCTTGAGAACTGCACAAAGGGAGTTTAAAAACCTGCAAACAATTTCCCATATTTTAAATAAGCTCATGATTATGAATTGTTGGTCTGCATCTATATCTATCCCGGGGTGCATTTGCCCTGCGGGGTGCAAACTGAGCACACCTGATTGTTTTAGACATTTATGTTCTATTTCTCTTACTCTGTAGTTGCTTTTAGAAATATTTGATAAATAACTAGTGTTTTCCACAGCAAACCCTCCTGTGTTTTTAGGTTTATGAGTCTATAGTGGAGGGAGGAGCTTCAGGGACAAGCGGTTGTGCAGGGAGCCCATTCCGACCCAGCCTCCCCTGCTTTCAGCTGTGCTGTCTCCCTGGCTTAGACTTCTGAAGGAATAATGACAGTGAACCACATCCTCCCTGGTTCAAGGGTGCTGTGATTAGAACTAATGGTGTGGAAAGGTGCTTAGGACTTCCAAGCAGCAATTTGTCCCACTGCAGAAATCCAAACCACCACGCCCGTGCTATACGGGAGGTACTTGGCACCTGACACCATGAAGGTGAACATAATGTTCCCATCAGCAATGTATGGTGCCGCGCTGTAGGGAGAGTGGCCATTGTAGGAGCCAGCCATGATAAGCTAAATTGAAACAGACCACCCGACAGAAGTTCTTTACTTCCAACCATTATCACCTGCCAGAGTAGGACTCAGCCATCCATAAGTTTAATGGAGGCCTGAGGCTCAGTAGTTTACCCTGAAGCAATACCTGGTTGCAGGAAGAACCACAAACTGAGTTTAGCCGAGCACCACCCAAGAACAGACCATCCAAAGGAAATTCCTAATGTTCCAACCGTGGCTGATAGGGTCAACTGCCAGCACACACTCACCGGGACACCCCTAGACAAATGTCAGCCAATCAGGGGTCTTGAACCTCAGAAACCTCTCACCCCCACCTTTACTACTATAAAAACCCAACTCTAACTGAGCTCGGGGCTCTCCATTTATTTCAATACATTGGACATGCGGAGAGACTAAGTTTGCAAATTTGCATAAAATAAAGGTTCTTTGCTTTTATACATGGGACTCGATCTCCTTGTTGGTTTTGAGGGATTTCGCAGGTCGGGGCATAACAGTCGCTCTATGCTAGTAACTGGCCTCGTGGCCACTGTTGCTGTGTGTGGACAAGCTTCCAACCCAAGAACTCCCTGCACTCAGGTATTCTTCATAAAAGACTGTAAGATGGGTAAAGTGGGCATTATCACCAAGGTCCATTTCAAAGAAAGCTAGAGGCTGGGAAGATGGCTCCGTTGGGAAAATGCTTGCCTCACAAGCTTGGGGACCTGAGTTTGCTCCCCAGAACCCTCTTTAATGTCAGGAGTGGTAGCTCACATCTTCAATCCCTGCCTTGGAAAGGTAGAGATGGTGGGTAGATCCCGGAGGCCTCGCTGGTTTGCCAACCTGGCCCAATGGACAAGTTCTAAATAAAAGTGAGAAATGAGATTAAAAAGCAAAGTGGAGAGCAACTGAGGAAGACACCCAAGGTCGACCTTTGTCACACGCGTGCACACACACACACACACACACACACACACACATACTGTACCCACATACACATACAGAGACCGCCATGATGTAGATACGTGGCCAGGGCCGTGTTGACAGCACATGAGAATGATATACCAATGGTCTTTCACCAGAAGACTAGATAAGGGTCAGGGTGATGGCTCTGAAAGCAAGAGTGAGTTCAAATCCCTACACGTGCCTATAATTCCAGTGGGATCAGGCAATTCCTGCAGATTTGCTTGACTGCTGCCGCAGTAAAAGATGACTTTGTAGAGATGGACAGACGGTTCAGCTGTTATAAGCACTAACTGCCTTTGCAGAAGACCTAGGTTCAGTTCCCAGCACCCATACAGTGGGTCTCGTTCCAGAGGATCTGACATCTCCTTCTGGTCTCTGTGGACACAAGACACACGTATGGTACATAGACAGACATACATGCAAGCAGAACACTCATACACATAAAATAAAAAGTAAAATTTCAAAATAGGTTTTTTTTTTTTAATTCAGTAAGAAACTGTGTCTCAAAAAATAAAGTGAGCTGGGAGTGGTGGTGACATCTTTAATCCCAGCACTCAGGGGGTAGAACCAGGCAGATCTCTGAGTATGAGGCCAGCCTGGCCTACATAACAAGTTCCAGAATGGCCAAGGTTACATAGTGAGACCCTGTCTCAAAACAAAACAATAATAATAATAGTAATAGCAATAATAATGAAGAAGGCCAGTAGAATGGCTTACCAAATAAAGGCACTTGCCACCAAGCCTGACAACTAGAGTCCAATCCCTAGAGAACTCCCCAAAGTTGTCCTCTGACCTCCACATGTATACACAGACACAGACACACACACACACATTCTGATCCAGCAAAATGGCTCACTGACAGAGACCTCAGTTTCAGTTCAACAGAATGGGGCTGAGCTGAGTGAGTAAGCTGGTCTCAGGAAAACCACAACTTACGGGTGATCATCAGCAAACCCCACCACAGGTCCTTCTGCTGGCTCAGCAGGTCCCCAAAGCCCGTCTGCTAGCTCAGCAGACACCCCCCAACTTCTGCAAGCTAAAATAGCTTCCCCTACCCTGCTACAAGAAAGTACCTAACCACTAGGCCTCCCACCAGTCAACTCTCACCAATCAGCTCCCAGACTAACCTTTCTTCCACCAATCAACCCCAGATTAATCCCTCCTTTGTGGAATTCCCCTAACTCCACTTAAAAGGGGCTTGTAAGCTTCTTTAAGGGTCCCCCTTTTGCCACCCCAATGTTGGAATCAATAAAGGACTCTTGCTATTTCATACATGTGGTTATTGGTCTTCTTTTGGGGCTTTTCTTGAACCCTAACACATGAAGCCATGAACTCAATCCCCAGCACTTAAAAAAAAAAAGTACATTTTTTTTTAAATGCATACAAACGAAGTAAGATAATGCTTCAGGTTACATGGCTTCTAAAAGCTGACATCTGAGACTGGATGTGCAGGGCATGACCAGGCAGATCCAGAAGGTCAGTCTGAAGCCAGCCTCAGCGATAGCTCAAGGACAGCCTGGGTGGGCTACATTGGACCCTGTCTCAAACAACAAAAGGACAGGAGGACCCAGCTCAAAGTAGAGGCAGAGTTCTTTCGTGCCTACTGGAAATCCCTCTACAGACCAGAGCAGTCATCTGGCCAAAGCTAAGGCTCAACCTCAGCCATAAAACAACCCTGAGTGCTCACTTTCTACAGACGACAGACAGACAGACAGACAGACACTCGACTCACCGTCCACTGTGTCCCTGAAAGTTCAAACACAAACGGATCGCTCCGTTTGCCTCTGTCCTTGACCCGTGCACTCTGCCTAGCAACTGAGTTCCTCTCTATCTTGTCCAGGAGCCTGGTGCCGGTGTCCACGAAGCCATTCTTGCAGTACTGCGCCTGCGGCACACCCTTCCTCCTGCACTCGGCCACGAAGTCCCATTCTTCCTTTATCCTAAGACGGGAAGCAGAAGAACAGTTATTTCCTAGGGTAAATAACCAGGTTCGCTCCTCCACTTCCCTGGACCTGGTTTCCCACTGTTGGCTACCTAGGGCCTATCCTGACCTTTGTTTCCTGCCACCAGGGATACTGGGAAAACTGAGACAGACCCTTCTGTGAATCACTAATCACCACAACTAAAAAGATGGCGCTGAGTTAGATGGAATCCTTGGCTAAACCTCCTACCAAAATTACCTAAACATTCGGTTTCTTTTAAGACTATATTACGATGTCATGTCAGCTTTTGACTCTGCGCCCCCACATTTCTGTAACTGACTCCCCAGGTCTATCTGCAAGTGTCATCTTCTCCTTGTTTGTTAAGGCAGAGTCTCCTGTAGCCCTGCCTGGCCTTAAACTCAGACACCTTGGCTGTGCTGCCCAGCTCTGTAAACATCACCTTCCGGTACAACTTTCTGCTGGCAAGAAGTCACATTAGATATCGTGAAGGTTTCGCGCATGGCATTAAACTGAGGGATCAGGAACACTTAAATAATTAACACAGCTCCAAAGGCTTCAGTCACAGGAGGAAGTGTTCTGGGGAAAGGCACCCAGAAAGGCTCCATGCGCTGGCACAGGCCAGTAGTCCCAGCCCTTGAGGGTAGAAGCAGGGCCAGGGGTTCAATGCCAGCCTCTGAAACACAGAGGCCCAGAGGACATCCTAAAGGTGTCATTTCTCTCCTCCATCATGCAGGTCCCAGGGATCAAACTCAGATCCACAGATAAAGCAGTAAAGACCTCTTCCTGCTGAGACATCCCCCTGCCTCAGCTTTTCTTGCTTCTGAAATCAAATCAGAAGGCAGATCCAGGCAACGTAGTGCAAAGGCAGAACTTAAGACCCGTATCTTTCCTATATCACAATTTACCAACCGATACAAATACAGCCCAGAACACCAGCAAGGGTAGGTGTTGGCAGGACAATTAGAAGTTCCAGCTCAGCCAGGCAGTGGTGGCGCACGACTTTTATCCCAACACTCAGGAGGCAGAGGTGGACAGATCTCTGGGAGTTCGAGGCCAATCTGGGCTACAGAGCAAGTTTCAGGACAGCCAGAGCTGTTACACAGAGAAATCCTGTCTTGAAAGCAAAGCAAAACAAAACAAAACAAAACAAAATTCAAGCTCATTCTTGTTACACAAGAAGTTCAAGACCACCCTGGGTTATTCAGACCCTGTTGTGATTTAAAAACAAGCGGAGCTGATAAGATGACTCAGCAGTGAAGACGCTCGCTGCCAAGGCTAACGGCATGAGTCTGACCCTCCGGAACCCACATGTGGGTTGTCTTCTGACCTCCACGCGTGAGCAGTGGCAGGACATGCACAGGAGCACGTACACTAAATAGTTTTTTAAGAAAATAGATTGTAGGGGGCTGGAGAGATGGCTCAGCAGTACTGCCTGCTCTTCCAGAGGACCTGGGTTCAATTCCCAGCACCTGCATGGCAGCTCGCACTTGTCTATAACTCCAGGATCTGACCCCCTCACACAGATACACATGAAGGCAAAATACAATGCACTTAAAATACAAAAATAATCCTGGCCATAGTGGCACATGCTTTTAATCTCAGCACTGGGGAGGCAGAGGCAGGTGGATCTCTGTGAGTTTGAGGCCAGCCTAGTCTATAAAGCTAGTTCCAGGACAGGCTCCAAAGCTACATAGAGAAATCCTGTCTCAAAAACCAAAATAAAATAATAAATTATTTTTTTAAAAAATAGATTACACATAAATTGATTGATTGACTGATTCACACTTTACACCTTTGGTTGCTAACTTAAATTTAACAAATAGCTAGGCAGTGGTGGCGAAAACCTTTAATCCCCAGCATTCAAGAGGCAGAAGCAGTTGGCTTTCTATGAGTTCAAGGCCAGCCTGGTCTATGAGTTCCAGGACAGCCAAGGCTATACAGAGAAACCCTATCTTGAAGAACAAAAGCAAAACAAACAAAGCCAATACAAATGTTCCATCATTTGCCAATTGGATGTGGGATCAGGAACCCACTTTGAGATGAGTTAGCCAATCAGAGTCCCATTTTGTCTTTAACCGTAATGTACCACTCAAGAATTCTAGCTTAAGTTTCTTCACAGAGAATAAAATTATAGCTGTGTGTGAAGCCTGGGTACACAGCCTTCCGAGTTTATCCTCCTTCTGTTACGCTGGGCGGTGCTGATATGATTGCAAGCTCACATTTACCATCAAGGGTTTTTTACAACTTAATGTCGTTTTGTGGCTTTGTTTGTGTGTGTTAGCATTTATTTGTGTGTATGTGTACCTGTACATGCATGAATGTATGCCATGTTCGTACATGAGTATCCAGGGATGAAGGCTTTGGATTCCCTATAGCTAGGTTACAGAAGGTTATGAGTCGGCCCACTTGGGTGCTGGGATCTGAACTTGGGTCCTCTAGGAGAATAGCAAGCACTTCTAATTGCTGAGTCATCTTTCCAGCTTTGCAACTTAGTGGTGTGTGTGTGTGTGTGTGTGTGTGTGTGTGTGTGTGTGTGTGTGTGTGTGTGCAGTGCTCACAGGAGCCACAGGACATCATTACAACCCTCGAGCTGGAACTATAGGTGGTTGTGAGTCGAACCCTGGTCCTCCCAAGAGCAGCAAGTGTTCTTAACTGCTGAGTCATCTCTCCAGACCCTCAACTTAGTTTTCAGTCCAGAACTCTTTAACTCACATTTCGTAAGTTTCTGGGAGACGGACTGCATCCTTTCAGCTCAAGCAGATGAAAACAATGGATCTCACCTAGAATTCAGCTCAGCAGGTGAAAGCTGAACCGCATGAAGAAAACAGCTTAGTGGGAGCGTGGGGTGGTCTAATGAGTTCTATGAAGGGCAGCAAGCGGCCTCTACATGGTGAACGCACAGGGCTTTTTGTGTCTAGTATAGCGTCTGGACACTACATAATTCCTCATGACTTAGGGTGTCGCTGTTAAAGGAGTGAGCACGGCAGCACCTGGCTATGGAGTCCCTGGAGGAATGTGGCCATGACAGTGAGAAGTCCCATGAGAGCTCCCCTGCCCATCAGCCAGCACCCTGCCTGAATCCCCACCCCCATCCAGCTGGAATAACAGGCACCAGAATGTACTTCTCTAGGGCACTCTTCTCCAGCCGTTCAGCTTCCTTCTTCTGCCATGCTTTGTGTTTCTTGACACGAGTTTCCCACAAGGATCTGATGACAGAAATGTCAAACACGACCACTTTGTGTCCCATTTGGGGAGCAGCATAAAGTTACCTGTAAAAAATACATATGTCAGTTTCGTAAGCACATAGACCGGGTTCGTGAAACACACACACACACAAGCCAGGCCTGGTGGCACACAACTTTAATCCCAGCACTTGGGAGGCAGAGGCAGGCGGCTCTCTGTATTCGAGGCCAGCCTGGTCTACAGGGTGAGTTCCAGGACAGCCAGGGCTACACAAGAGTAACCCTGTCTCAAACAAACAAACAAAAAAAAAAAAGTGGGGTGGGGGGGCGGTATCTGCAGGTATTCAAGGAGGCCAAGGCTTTGGATAGCCCTGGAGCCAAAGTTACAGATGGTTGTGAGTCACCTGATATGGGTACTGGAAACCAAACTCGGATCCTCTATAGAAGTACAATCCCTCTATAGAAATAATTGAATTATTGATTGGCTGTGGTAAGACTGGGCACCTTAATCACCTCTATTTCTTGTTGTGTGACAGATGCAGGGAGATGCTACAAAGACAAAGGAGGAAAGATCTACATTTCAAGAAATAGAAACTTACTGCTGGGGGCAAAAAAAATCATTAAAAACAAGAACAGCAAAAACCCTTATTATGTTCAGGTTCATGATTCAACACCAACTCCCCAAAACTTGTCCTCTGACTTCAGACTCATGGCATGGCACATGTGTGACCTGTACACACACACACACACACACACACACACACACACAGAGAGAGAGAGAGAGAGAGAGAGAGAGAGCAACAACAAAAACAATAATAAACAACATCTTAAAATAAAAACTCTTTTAAAGTCAACCAAAATGCCCAAGGAAAGCTGACTGCATCTACAGAGTGAGAAGCTAGGAGGAGCTTACCAGGGTGGAGGTGCAGAGTGGGTGAGGAATGCCACAGGGCTATACCAGCAGGCCAGATTTTTAAACTTTATTATTCTTATGTGTATGAGTGTTTTGCCTGTATCTTCGTCTATGCATCATGTGCGTGTAGTGCCCACAGAAGCCAGAAAACACCTTCCACATCTCCCACATCTGTCCCCAGCCTATCAGGGAGAATATCAAAACATCTGGAAGCTGGGATATATTTTGGCTCAGCATCTGAGTCAGAGAATCAGACGTGTGGGGCTGAACCAACTGCCATGGGTCCACAAAAAGAGGGAAGTCCCGCAGAATGGCAAGTGAACTGGCAAGTTGGGGTGGGAACGGTGTTGGAAGTGACAGGGGATACAACCATCAATGCAGATTTAGTTGGCACACTTTCATGCCCTCCCCCCATTTATGTCAGAATCGCTTGACAAAAGCACTGGCTCCCCGGAGCCAGAGGGCATGACTGGAAAAATGTGTCCCCTGGCACCAGAGGTCTGGTCTCCACTCAACAATCATACGCCAGGGGAGAGGAGGGAAACATTCAGGTCACCTAGCCTCTCCCTTATCAACTGATAAACTTTGCTTCTAGAGTTTAGGGGGCTGGAGGTGTGGAGTGGGTACCAAGTTAACAGCTCAGAGCATCATGTGAAATATCTGGAGGAACTTGGAGGAGACCCAACACAAGTTCCCATACTGAGGCCACATCACTTGATACCCGCTTTGAGCGTAGAGAGAGAGGCGGCGGTTGTATGGGAAGATGCTCTGTCATCCGTCCAGCTCGCTACAAGAGAATGGCTGCAGCCAATAGGAACTACTCGGGACCCCAAAGTGCGGGGGTGGGGCTATACTCCGCATCTGGAAGGCAGAATGGGTTTTCTAGTAGAACAGTGTTTGTTTAGGAGGGGGAGGTTAAATTTAAAGTAAGGTCAGAATAGCCACCACTGCTTCTCAGTGGAATTCTAAACTGAATTAGTTTGTGCTGCCCGATCAGTTTCCCTTGGGACAGTCGATGATTGTTAGGGTAATTTGTTAAACTGGAAGATCAAGTCAGGGGAGACAGAGGGCACAGGAAGGATTAAGAGGACAGGGACTGAGTCAGATGGCCCAGGTTGGAACCCTGCCTCCTGGCTTGCTGGCCACATAGCCCTGAGGACAGAGCTGCTGGGTTTTCATGTGGACAAAATACAACCGCAGCACTCAGCTCCCAGGCTTGGTGAGCGAGCACTCTGTGATCCTTGGATCAAGGGCAGCTTAGGATGGGACCTGTCACCCAGTAAGGCATAGGGAGGAGATGCCAATTAACTGAAGAAAAGAAATAGAGACAAATCATTGGTCATCAATTAAGTGTAAGATGTAAATAAGAGGTATGGCTCAGTTAAAGTTCTTGCGTGCAGGGAACCCTAGGTTCCGTCCCCACGCTGGGCTGCATGGGACCCTGTTAAAAACAAGCACCCAAACTAACACAAGAGAGGAACGTGGGCATTAAGGGGCTTTTCCCCACTGGGTTAGCCAGTTCTATGGGACCGGTGACTGGAGAACGTCCCAGGCCCTGGTGAAAAAGCCAAGAAGCCGCCACACTTGGGCTATTTACAGAGCTGGACAATTCTCTTTGAGCTTCCAATCTCTTTGCCGCTCTTGCCCCAACCCCTGCCCCACCCACGCCAGGGGGCGCGCGAAGTTTTGTGAAAGGAAAGACCACTCCCCCAACCCTCCCTCCTTGTTAGACGTCAAGCGTATTTTCCAAGGACCAGAAGAGGGCACAAACAAAGATGATTTATCACCCCGGGACAGCACTTTGGAACTCAGTTTTGGGCACCTGAATGGTCCTCTCGAAAATACCAGGATTCCTGAGGACCTCGTCCAGACAGTCACCCACCTGAGGGCACCCGTGTGGTTCTTGAGCTGAGCACCGGTCAAAGCCTGGTCCTCTCTGTGTGCTTGGATGGTGGCTGGCTGGAGCTCATCGGCACCAGGTGAAGCCCTAAACAGCCAAAGTCACAACGCTGGCGTGGTGGCGGGTCCCCCTCGCAAGCAGCCGTGACGCCCAACTCGGCTTCTGCGCAGTCGCAGGGCAGGCGCTTCCACCTGCTAGTTCACACCCCTCGGTCTCTGGGACCGAGACCACCGCCACTCACCTTTCCTGTGGGTGGGTGGGTGCTGACAGTCCCCGGCCCCGGCTACCACGCTGTAATCCGCTTTCGATGCTGTTTACACCGACAGAGCAACTCCCCCAGCGGAAGGACTGCCGTGCCTGTGCGCTAACAGGCTATATTTGTAAGCGGATAATATGATCTGGAGGACATGTGCTGATAAACTATCTATCTATTCTATGTGACTCAGCCTAGCAAGAGACAAAACAGATCTGGTCGGGGAGGGCTTGGCACCCGGGCACAGCAGGCTTACTGAATGAGTCCAGCCGCCTCCACAGAGGGCCAGCGCTTTCCAACTAGGAAAACCTTGGGTGAACAGAACTAAACAGGGCCGAGGGAAAAGCATTCTGTGGTCTCAGTACTCTATGACTATGAGCCAAACAAGAGACCGGATTAGGAAGCCCGTTGGAAGGAATCAAGATTATGAAAACGTTTTTTGCGATGTATGAAACAATACTCTGAAAGTCTGGGTTTCATCTCTTTATGTTTTGGTTCTTGTTTGTTTGGTGTGTGTGTGGTTTTTTGTTGTTGGTTTTGTTTTGGTTTGGTTTTGGTCTGTTTGCTTGCTTGCTCGTCATTGCTTAAACGTTTGCTACCGAGGAAATACTCTTACTGATGGCAGAACCTGGGATGACACCCAATAGGTAAAGGAACTCTAGAGTTCTCCCAGGAATCCAACCCATAATAACAACTCCTCACACACCTTGGTTTGAATCTGGAGTCCTGGAGCATACCCACAACCCTGGAGAGGCAGAGAGTCAGGAGGGCAAGGTCATCCTCATTTACACTTGGTTCAAGGTCAACCCACTAACACCAACTAATACCCCTCAGATAATAGGCAAGGTGATGAACACAGGGAATCCCAGCTTTCTGGAGGTGGGTGCAGGAAGATCAGAAGTTTAGGGTCATCCTCCACTACAGGTGGAGTTCACGGCCAACCTGGTCTACTTAAGATACAGTCTCAAAATTCAAAAAACCCTGAAACTGAGGGTGGAGCCTCATGCCCTTTAATCACAGTTCTTGCCTAGTATGCATGAGGCCCTGGATTTAAGCCCTAACATTACAATAATAATGCTATTTTGAGGATACACTTATACTAAAAATAATTATTTGTCATCGATCTGAAATTTACGTCTGAGTGTCCTGTGAGTTCAAGGCCAGCAATGTCCATAGAGTGAGTCCAGGACAGTCAAGGCTACACTGGGAAACTGTCTTGAAAAATCAAAACAAACAAATCAAAAACCCAGAATGTGTCTACACTTACGTAAGGAATTGTTGGTGATGCGCTAAACTCACTGTACAAGGTGTACAGATTGCTGTGTCTCTGGACTGGGGACATCCAAAAAGACCTTCCAAGTTGAGTGTGGCAGTGCACGCCTGATATCCCTACTCTCAGGAGGTAGAGGTGAAAGAGTCAGAGGTTCAGTGTCCTCCTAAACTATTTTGGAAGTTTGAGCCCAGCCTGGGCTCTTTATAAGACCCTGTGGAGGCATGCGCGCACGCGCACACACACACACACACACACACACACACACACACACACACACACATACACACACACGCACGCACATACATACACACATCTTGCAGCTTCTGAACTTCCAGGGTTCCCTATAATAATACTCATTTCCCAAATGCCCTGGAGACCATAAACGGTCCAGCATATATACTGATACACAGCTTCCTCATGAGTAGCTGGGGTTCAAGGGAATAGCACCTTTTAAGGCAATGGTTCTCAACCTGTGCGTCAGACGATCCTTTCACAGGGTCACCCTAAAACATTGGAAAACACAGATAATTACACCACAATTCATAACAGCAGCAAAATCACAACTATGAAGTAGCAACGAATTAATTTTATCGTTGGGGGGGGGTGTCACCATAATATGAGGAACTGTTGTTTTAAAGGGTGTTAGGAAGGTTGAGAACCACTGCTCTTAGTCAGTCAGCCCCAGCTCACAGACTCACAGACCCTGCTGGGACATCATCCACAGATGTCTCTCTGTGAAGCTACAAGCTCATTTCCTTCCTTCCCAATGGGGTTCTACCACAGGTACACTCAGGTAACCCAAACCTTAGCCCAGGTCATCTGAGACAGCAGCCCTTCTTCCAGGAAAACCCCTGCTGTCACTCACCTTATTTCCCGCCCTTTATGATGTATATACAGAAGAATGAAGAATGATGTAAACACTGCCTGCCATTTCGATGACCATTGTTAAGAGGTTCCCACTGGTGTGATCGCAAGTGCCAAGGGCTCCTGCCTTGCTGCTTTAGTCTGCAGACTAAAAATTCAGGGAGAACACTGGGCTGACGGTGGTCCTCGTAGGTCATCAGCCGCACACCTGCATAGTGGGGCAAATGTGTAACCCAGAAGCCCTATTGAGCACTGAATGATTAATCTTCACTGTCGACTTGATTGAATTTAGGAAACACTCTTCTGTGGGGTGTCTATGAAAGTGTTTAACTGAGTAGAGAAACTCGTGTGTGTGTGTGGGGGGGGTTCGGGACAGGGTTTCTCTCTGTGTAACATCCTTGCCTGTCCTGGAACTAACTTTGTAGAGTAGGCTGGCCTCAAACTCACGGAGATCTGCCTGCCTCTTCTTCCTGACTATTGGAATTAAGACATGCACCACCCAACCCACCCTATTTGTCAATATTTATGAATAGAATGTGTATTTCAAGTTTTTTTTTTTCCTTAAAGTTTAGGGAACAAGAAAGAGAGCTCAGAGTAAAGGGATTGCCATGAAAGCAGGAAGATTTGAGTTTAATCCTCAAAAATGACATAAAATCCAGGAGGGGCAGAGCTTCTGGAAACTCACTTCCAGGGTGGGAGGAGGGGCAGAGGCTTTTTGGTCCTCCAGTCTAGGCAAATCTGTGTGCTCCAGGTTCTGTGGGAGGGCCCATATAAAAAAACAAGGTGAAAGACTGGAGAGTTGGCTCAGCAGTTAGGAGCACTTGTTGCTTTTGCAAAGGACTTGGGTTCGATTCCCAGCACCTACATGGTAGCTCACAACCATCTGTTACTCCAATTTCTGGGGACCCAGTGCCCTCTTCTGGCCTCCTTGGGTACCATGCATGCATATGGTGCAGACATACAGGCACAACACCCATATGCATAAAATAAAAGTATGTTAATTAAAAAATGTATTCTAAAATGTTAGCAAAAGCTAGAGGTATACATCAGTGACAGAAGCCTTGCTTAGCATGTGTAAGGTCCTGGGTTCAATCCCCAGTACTGCAATAATAATAATTTTTTTAAATGATGGTGTTATATTAGTTCTACATTGCTAAGTAATAAACTCTTACAAACTCAATGACTTAAAACAATCCCCACTTCATTTTCATAAATCAGAAGTCTGGCTCAACTGACTTTTAACGGAAGAAGACGTGTGTCAGTGTGCCTGGCTCATTTGCACAGAAAACATTACTCAGTGCTCAGGACAGACTTCTCCATCTGTTTCTGGTGTCAGATTGGGTCTGTATCCAGCTTCCTGCCTTTCGTTGGCATTTCATTCATTTCAAAATCCCTGAGAGCTAGGAAGATACCTGGAAGCAGCCACACACAAATCCACTTTAGACCCCCTCTTAAATGACTCCGTCTTCTAGATCTTGTGAAAATCAATTGCAGCCCAGCTGGCCTTCTGATTGTCTCCTAGGGGCCTGTCTGCCCACTTGTCTGCTGAGGCCCATTAGCTTTGATAATGTCTGGGAGCAGTCAAGATAGAACAGCCTCTTCCCTCCCCCAGGAGTCTGGGGAGGCAGCTAAAATGGCTTGTTTTATCTCAAATGGGGAAAGGAAGCCATAGCCTGCCCCACTGGGCAATGCACGGCCCAGAACGGCTGCTTAGTAAATCGCTAATCGATTTGATTGGCAGAAGAAGGATTTGTGCAAAAGAGTTGGAGAATGTTGGAGCAAGTCAGGTGATTCAGTGGACCAAGGAGCTTGCTAAGGTAACAAGCCTATGGACCAGAGTTCTCTCTGGGGGAACCTACATTTTAAAGGAGAGAACCAAGTCCTGCAAGGTGTCCTCTGACTTCCACACACATGCCAGGCATGTGCACACATACAGAGATGCACACGTAATAAAAAGATAACTAAATAGATAAATAAATAGAATTGTAAAAATCACAGTGCCCCCCACACACACACCTAAAGTGTAAATCAAAATACCCCTCCTCTGACACAGCTCCTAGGAACTGTACCAAATCGTCTTATGCCTGGCAAACATTTTAGAATAAGGCACCCGGCATATCAGTAATGACTGCAAGTAATGTTCTTTGTCATTTTTCCAGGCCCGGGTTTGGGGGAAAATATTGCCTTCTTGGCTTCCTTTTCAAAGGCCTTGCTCTAACTCCTATTTTAGAAAATAGGGCCGAGACTTAATACTTCTGTAGGCCACAGGGTAGCCTGTGGATGAAGATTTCCTAATTGGCTCAGGGAGACACTGCTATCAGGGTAGGAGAAGCTGAGAGTTCTGAAGACCAGGCTGTTAGACCTCCTAGGTGGGAGCCAGAGGGAAGGGGTGAAAGACAAGAAAACAAGCAGTTTACAATCCGGAGTTAGCAAAATAAACTCTGGGGTGGAGCAGTGGCTACCACACTCGGCTCTTCAGCTCAGGGCCCCAGTGGGAAGCCAGGATAGGGAGGAATGATGCCAAGAGGCACTTCCCAGAGCAAATGACATCCCCGCTGAGCCCAAAGAAGCTAGTTCAAGGGCGTTGTAAGAACCATCAGCCAGGCCATAGAAAACAAAATACAAACACCCAGTAACACAGTGAAATATACAAATCCAAACAACAAAATACTACTTTTCATATCATGAATCAGCAAAATCTTCAGGTGTTAACGCAGGTGGCACAGGTCCTGGAGGAGGAGCTCTTTACGGTAAGAGGGACAGGGGTGAGATTCTGGGAAAACACTTTGGAAGCATGCATGAATTAAGCACGCAATTTCAGGGCTCGGCATTTACCAGAATACACCTCCAAGCGTCCCCAAGTAGTCTGTTGCAAGGGAAGGCACTGTAGAAGCATGTCCTGCCGGGATCGGTGATAAAATAATTTCTGGTATGTCTACACACGTAGAAACGGAACCTATACCACACAGAAACAAATGGCGTCCCCCTCCTAATCCCTCGGCCATTCGCCCTCACACTTTTACTCTTCCAGTCTGTATGCAGGAATCTCTTCTATCAAGTTCTCAGTGAAAACAGCCATTAGCTTGTTAATGAAGGAGCCGGGGCCGGCAGGGAAATAACAGGTCCCGCCGACAGTGTTTCAGGAACTGAGGTTAGGTGTGGCTGGGGGTGGGGGTGGAGGGTAGAGAGACTGGGCGCGGGCAGACTCCTCAGGCCCGCCCACTGTCGTGGCCGGCTGGCGGATGTGAATGTAGGGAGGGCAGGGAAGTAAATCGCTGTAGAAGTTCTGGCAAAAGTGGGGGAGAGCTGTTGCCTTTGTGTTCCTTTTTTTTTTTTCTTTTTTTTAAGATTTATTTTTATGCCGGGCGGTGGTGGTGGCGCACGCCTTTAATCCAGGACTCTGGAGGCAGAAACAGGTATATCCCTGAAGCCAGCCTGGTCTACAGAGCGAGTGCCAAGACAGGCTCCAAAGCTACACGGAGAAGCCCTGTCTCAATAAACCAAAAAGAAAAAGAAGAAGAAAAAGAAAAAAAAATTATATACGTTGATGTTTTGCCTGCATGTGTGTCTGTGTGAGGGTGCCAGATCTTCTGGAACTGGCCTTGCAGACAATTGTGAGCTGCCTTGTGGCTGCTGGGAATTGAACCCCAGATCCCCTGGAAGAGCGCTCAGGGATCTTAACTGCTGAGTCCATCTCTCAAGCCCCTTGTATTTTGACGCTGAGTTTTATAAGGACTTTTTACCAATTTTTTTTAAAGATGTATGAGTGCTCAATGTGCTTGTATGCCTTTCATTCTAGAAGAGGGCAACAGATCCCATTTTAGATGGTTGTGAGCGCCATACTGTTGCTGAGAATTGAACTCAGGACCTCAGGGAGAGCAGTCAGTGTTCTTAACCTCTGAGCCATCTCTCCAGCCCGATGTTGAGTCTCAGTTGTTCTTGATGATACCTGCCTGTAGTATTGGGGGGAACAGAGGCGGGAAGAGAACTGAGAGTCCCAGACCAGCCTGAGCTTGCGTGAACCCTTTCTTAAAAGGTTAGGATCTTGTCCTGCAGCACAGACTATCCTAAAACTCACGCTGAAGACCAGGCTGGCTCTCACTTCAATCTTCCTGCTTCTACCTCTTACAGGGCTCTACTACCAAGTCCTGCTTTTGTGATAGATAGACAGACAGATATAGAGATGGATGGATGATAATCTGCTTGCCCCAGTTTCTGATACCTGACTGCTCATGTCGAGTATGAGAATAAATCTAAAATATTAAGATAGAATGGTGGACTTTGCATCACAAGGCTAACAATATGCATCTGACTTCGGGTCCTTGAAGCCCCTCTTCTTGTGGCAATCCACCCTGGGCGCACACGTGTGCCTCCTCTGCCCCAGGTGTCCACTGGATGGATGGATAAGAGGCAGGAAGGCTGACTGGCCTCCTCGGGCTCTGAAACGTCTCAAAAGAATAGCAGCCTCAGTACCCTTTCTCTGAAACAGGGAGGTAGCGAGGTGGTCTAAGCTCCGCTACAGCCGCTTCAGCGAAGGGAGTATCAGGAGGGGTTGTATGTTTCTTTGTGAGTTATGCCAGACCTGCCCAGCACCTAGTAATAAAGATACAACTCCAGATGCGAGTCGAGGTCCTCCCTATCCCCACACCGACAGAGAGAGAGAGAGAGAGAGAGAGAGAGAGAGAGAGAGAGAGAGAGACTGACTGACTATTGGGCGTGTTTGGACACGGAAGAACCAAGCGACCCGCAAAACAGCTTGTGAAAGCCCGGCTGTAAAGCTTCAGGTCCCCGCTGGTCCCCGTTGGTCCTCGCGCCCCCCTCCCCACCCGGAACTCCCGGGGAGCGCTTGCAATTCAGGCGCTACTGGCAAAGACTCGAGGTCACTTCCAGACTGAAATCCCTCCGGACCTGCTCGTCACCCAAACCAGTCCTCCCAGGTGGCCAGCGCATCTTCCCTAGCCACCCTAGCCTCCCCAGCAACCGGCACCCAGCTCCACGTGGCTTTTTAGCAAAAAGATGAAAGCAAATTCAGAGTTAAAATTTGATAATGAAGTATCAAATGTCTGCATATGTACACATGTTATTTAGACGTTCCTAGTTAATGACTTTCGTGTTTGAACCGCCTTGGTAGAATAACTTGACTCTCTTCGACCCCTTTTTCAAGAGAAAAGAAACCTGGGCCCAGAGAGATGGCTCAGCGGTTAAGAGGTCCCGAGTTCAATTCCCAGCAACCACATGGTGCTTCACAACCACCTATCTGGTGCCAACTTCTGGCATGCAGGGATGCATGCAGGCAGAACATTGTATATATAATAAGTCTTTTTTAAAGAGAGAGAGAGAGAGAGAGAGAGAGAGAGAGAGAGAGAGAGAGAGAGAGAGAGAGAGAGAAAGAACGCCAGGGCCTAGCAATGGGCGTGGGGCTTCTGGCTCTCCGCCCACCTGAGGGTCCACCCCGCCACCCCTAGGGTTTCTAGACGAAGAAGGAAGGTCTCTCGAAGTCCTTTCTCAAGGTCAAAACGGTTCTGCTGATTGGGAGAGGACCCTCCCCTTTCCTCCCCCTCCCCCCGCCCCCCAGTCGGCTTGGAGACCTTGGCCGTCGACTGCCCCAAGACCCTCCGGGCCGGGCGCATTTCTCATCTGGAATATCTTTCTTTTTAATTTACTATTTTTCACTTCGAGAACTTAAACCTTTCTGTGTTTGGGGAATGATTTTATGATTTAAAGCCATTTGCTAATCCTGTTTTCCGAGCGTTTTTCTCCAACGTTTTCACGAGTCGCGGAAGATGGCGCACTTCTCGTCCAGGTATGAACTAACTTTGAATCTTTGATTGCTGGAGATTGTAACTTCAGAAAATCATGTTCTACCCTTCTCTGATTTTTATCCAACTTGAACCTTAGAGTACTGCTAGTGGCATTGCTGCTTTTCCTGAAGATCCTGGAACTTTGTACTTAATGACATACTACTTTGCCATTGACTTTTTAAAGTACTCAGTTTTTAAACTATTCAATATCTGTGTGTGTGCACTCACGTGTGCACATGCAGTGGGTCGTGTGAGTGGAGGAGGGAGGATGGCTTGCTGGAGTCAGTTCCTGTGTGGGTCCTGGGCATCCAGCTCAGGCTGGGAAGCTTAATGACCACTACCTTTCAATCATGTTGGGGACGCTGCCGGGGAAATAATGCGTCCCTTCTCTTGCATAAACAGTATTAGCACTGCAGCCGAATTAAGATTGCCTCTAAAAGTTAGTGGTATAGACGAATTCGGTACTTTAAAAAGCGATCAAGAGCAACAAACAAACTTGGAACCATTTTAAATGACAAGACAGGTTTTTTTTTCTCCCCAGTGATGCTGGGAATCGAACCAGGATCTGCACGTTCTAGGCAAGTTCTCTACCCAGTCACAACCTGTGCAGCCATTTTAAAATTCATATATGTAAACTGTACTGTGGAAAAATACGCAACTTATGCAGAATAAATTTTTTTTAAGAGGGAATTTCTGTTCCAGCTTCCTTACTGGAGGAACCACTGGACGGAGAAAGGTGGCGCTCTTGCGTCTCCTTAGAAGCCTGTGGTCTTCTGCCGAGAAGGCTCCAATTTTACATGCTTTTCGCTAACTGATGTCCAATTTCCTTTTCCTAGTCTGGTTTTACTTGTGGCCATTTCCAATGCATTTGAATTTGGACTCGTTGCTGGTGAGAGTTTTCTCCGTTGGTTTGGGGTTCAGGGGTTTTATGGGGGTGGGAAGCTTCAGGACAGGGCTTCTCCTGTGTTGCCCTGGCTGTCCTGGAACTTGGCTCTATAGACCAGACTGGCTTTGAACGTGGAGAGATCCACCTGCCTCCGCCTCCTGAGAGTTGAGATTAAAGGCATACGTCATCACCAGTGCACAGCTGGGGTTCAGGTTATAGATGTCACGGTGTGTTCTGGGATTCCTGCTTCTGCCTCCACGTTGTCACCACTGCACAGCTGGGGTTCAGGTTATGGGTGTCGCGGTGTGTTCTGGGATTCCTGCTTCTGCCTCCACGTCATCACCACTGCACAGCTGGGGTTCAGGTTATGGGTGTCGCGGTGTGTTCTGGGATTCCTGCTTCTGCCTCCAGCAGTCTCAGTGCCACCACCACACCCAGTGAGTTTTTATCCAAATTTGTTTTGTATTTTGCTTTTGGGTAAAAGCACCGCAGCCCAGGTTGCTTAGGAACTCACAATATAGCCAAGGCTGACCTTGAACTCCCGATTCTCCTCCCTCTACCTCCCAAGTTCATTACCGAATCTGGCTGAATTGCTTTTCCCTTTTGAGCCCCAACTTTTTTGTTGTTGTTCACATGGTGCTGGGGATGGAGCCCTGGGCTTTGCACCCTGGATATACACCTAGATCACCCTCCACTCCATCCTCCTCCCCAGTGCTGAGGTCTAAGTCTTATGCATACCGAGTAAACCACCATTGCGCTACAACCTCAGTCTTAGTGTTTGGGACGGCCTCAGGCTGACCTCTCCTTCCTCTGCCTCCTGAGTGCTGAGCTCACAGGCATGTGCTGCCATACCTGTTGATGGGGATGCCTCTTATGAACACCAACAACATTTTGTGTGGCCTGAAATACATAATACAGGGTTGGGCCACCGTGAGCTGGCTGTTCTGCCTCCGAGAGACCTGGCCATCAGAGATGACAGCCTTCGCAGCCAGGAAGGACCTGCAGTCCGTGCTCGCTCTTCGCAGCTGGTGCCTTCCGTGGGGATACAGAGCAGTAAGACTTGCTTTGCCTTGATTCGTCTCTGTCCTGCCCTCGACACATCTCTGCAGTAATGTTTTCACACTTACCCTGAGAGAGTGGGTGTGTGAGTCAGCGACTGGGTGTATTGTACCAGCTTGGGGATGTAGAGGGGAGTAAGACGGGGTGCTGTGCCACATCCCTGAAATGCAGTTTTCTCCTAACTGGTCTGAACATGAAAATGATTCCCCTAAAAATAGAGTCTTAGGCTATGGGCTCTTCAGAATACTCTGGGGAGATGAAGACCAGAGTGCCGGATGAACCTTTGCTCCACCTGCCCCATGGCTTCTTTTACCTTTCAGCTAAGCTGCTTAATAAAACTTGCTGCCTGAATGGAGGGACCTGCATCCTGGGTTCCTTCTGTGCCTGCCCACCTTTCTTCTTTGGACGCAACTGTGAGCGTGACGTACGAAAAGAGTAAGCTGTTGGGTGGGCAGGGCTGAGCAGTGGGAGGGAAAGGAGCATGAGGAATTTACCAACAGTGTTGTTTCTTCTTTCTCAGGCACTGTGGGTCTGTCCTCCATGGCACCTGGCTGCCCAAGAAGTGCTCCCTGTGCAGGTGCTGGCTCGGCCAGCTCCACTGTTTTCCTCAGACCTTTTTACCTGGCTGTGGTAAGAAGCAACTGTACCGCTCTAGTCCTGTCCAGTCCTGTAGATGCCCAAGGGACTCCCTTTCTGCCTCCTGGTCTAACAGGACCTACCAGCAAGGCTTCTGTTATAAATAGCATAATGATTCCAGAGGGCATAGAGCCTAGGAATCCTTGCTGGGTGCCCCCTTGGACACTAGGTCCTTGGGGAGTGCTCCCTTAGGTGTGATGTCCCTGGGAAATGTTTCTTTAGATGTGGTGTCTAGTGAGTGGCTCAGGGTCATTGGTGGATGCTACCTTGGGCATCCTACCATGAAGTCCTCAGGCAGTGTTCTCTTATATGTGGGATCCTTGAGAGTGCTCCCCTCAGGCATGGGTCATCCGGGTGTTGTTGGACATTCCCTCAGATGCATTGAGGGGGAGTGCTCCCTCAGTCCTCAGAGTCCTCAGAACTGTGGGTTTGCTGTCCCTGATAGAGTGGATCTTTAGGCGAGCTCTCAGGTGTAGGGTCCTTGGTGCGGGACACTCCCTCAACCCACGGTGTTCCTTCCAGTCTACTCGACACCCAAATCCAGTAGGCTTCTGCTAGACACAGTGAAGAGAAAAAGAGCTTGCCTCTTAAACATGAAGCTGTGCCTGCTGGTGTCTGCCTTTGGGCAGATCCCAGGAGACTCCAGGCGGTCCTTCAGTGAGAACCCACCTTCACAACAAATCCTTCCCGTACACTGCTGGGTTTGGGTTTGTTATTTAGGGTTTCGTTGTTATTGTTTTGATTTGATTTTTGTTTTTGGCCCATTCTGTAGCCCAGGCTGTCCTGGAACTCAACTATATAGTCTAAGTTGGCCTCAAACTCCCATCCGTCCTCATGCCTCAGCCTGCACAGTGCCTAGATTACAGGAATGCACCATCAACCTCGGATCTACCAGTACTTTGAGGACTCCCCCCCCTCACTGGTGTTCTCTGGAGACTTCTTTGAGATTGAGACAAGGTCTCAATGTGTAACCCTGGCCTTGAACTCACCGAGATCTGCCTGCTTCTGCCCCCCACCCCAATGCTGGGTGTGTGCCCCCACAACTGATTCTTCCTGCGCCCTAAAGGTCACAGCACCCTTCATCTTACAGATCTGAAGGAGACAGTGGCAAGAAGATCAGGACGTAGAACAGTGCAGAGAAGCCAGTGTCACCCCCACCCCATGTGGCTGGGTTTTCTGAGCAACTCACATTTGGATTCTTATAATTGAATGTGTGCAAGTTCATAAAGTAAACGAGAGTGTCCCTTTGTCTGCCTCCCAGCATAGAGTCTGTGTCTGTATTTGGGGTGTGGTGCATAGATATTAGCAAATGAGGGTAGAGTGATTGGATGGGTGGGAACCCAATTTTCTTCCTGGAATTTAGGGACCAAGATGTGTTGTTCCGTTACCAGAGCCTAACCAAGGTCTGCACCAACACTGGAATAGAAAATATCTGGGTTTGTGGTGACTTTTGATGAAAGGCTCTTTGGGGGAGTCAAGAGAGTCACATAGTACTGTTTATCTTTTTTTAGTGTTTATTTATTATGTATACAATATTCTATCTGCGTGTATGCCTGCAGACCAGAAGAGGGCACCAGACCTCATTACAGATGGTTGTGAGCCACCATGTGGGTGCCGGGAATTGAACTCAGGACCTTTGGAAGAGCAGGCAATGCTCTTAACCACTGAGCCACCTCTCCAGCCCCAGCACTGCTTACCCTGTGGGCACTCTGTCCTCATCCTGCCAGGCCCCAGCGGAGTTCTGGGTCTTGTATACAGACCTGTGTTCAGGCAGTGTACGCAGCAGGGAAGCTGGAGGGATTTCCTTTAATGACCTAGCATTTCTACCTTTCAGATGGTCATGTGATGGACCAGAATCCCCCAGCATCCAGGACTCCAGGACGGGCAGCCTCTGTGCCGACCACTTTCATGCTAGCTGGCATTTGTCTTCTTCGGGAAGTGAAAGTGTAGGTGTCATATGACTTCAGCGCCAGTGTCCTGACAAAGACGATCATTTGTCATTCGTTTGAAAATAATGCTCATCCCTGGCACTCCCCGCTAAACACTATCTGGGCCTTACCTTTCTGGCTGTACTGGTGGTCAGCGTCATTGCCTGTGGGGCCAAGCACAGCACTCTAACCCTGAGCCCAAGTGTTAGAGGGTTGCTTAAAAACTCTGTACCACAGAACCGCATCCTCTTTTTTTTTTTTTAAATATATGTATTTTATTTTATGTGGATTGGTGTTTTGCCTGCATGTATATCTGGGTGAGGGTGTTGGATCCCCTGAAACTGGAGTTACAGACAAGTTGTAAGCTGCCATATGAGTGTTGGGAATTGAACCTGGGTCTTCTGGAAGAGCAGTCAGTGCTCTTAACTACTAAGCCATCTCACCAGCTCCCATATCCTGTGTTTCTTAATAAAAGTATCTCTTATTTTTCTTATAATACTTTTAAGCAATTCTTAAGATTATTAAAACCTGCCAGGTGGTGGAGGCACATGCCTTTAATCCTATCACTCTGGAGACAAAGGTAGGTGGATCTCTGAGTTTGAGGACAGCCTGGTCTACAGAACTAGTGCCAGGACAGGCTCCAAAGCTACAGAGAGGAACAGAGAAACCCTGTCTCAAAAGACAAAAAAAAGTAACAAAGGGTTATTAAATCCTGATGTGCAACTAAGAGTGAATTCACAGTCGGTAAAAATTGGTTAAGAAATTGGAAGTTGCCTTTTAAAATAGAAGTAAGTGTTGGTGGCACACGCCTTTAGATCCAGCACTTGGGAGGTAAAGGCAGGCGATCTCTGAGTTCAAGGCCAGCCTGCCTACAGAGTGAGTTTCAGGATAGCGAGGAGTGTGCAGAGAAACCCTGTGTTGAAAAACCAAAAAAGAAAAGTAATGCGCCAGGCATTGTGGCACATGGCTTTACTCCCAGCACTCAGAAGTTCTTGAATAAGAAAAAACCTTACAGGGAAATTGTAGAGGTAACTAGTCTCTGCAGAGGGACCAACGAGGTAAGGAAGCAACTAAGACAGACAGGTTAGGGGAAATCATTTTGATGCTTTGGTGGGTACAGAGATGTGAGTTAAAAAGTCAAATCATTCAGTCAAGCATGGTGCACACTCAGGAGGCAGAGGCAGGAGGACTCCCGAGAGTTCATGGCCAGCCTGGGCTATGTAGCGAGTACCAGGTCAGCAAAGGCCAATTGCTGAAGGCTTTCTCCAAGTTACACAGTTGTATCCACTGTTGCAGAGGGAAAGAAATGTTGACACTGTCATTTTGGCTAATCTAATTAGCTAAATTATAAAACTACTTATTGTAAAGTCTGTTTTTATGATATTGTTTAAGAATGCACACAGTAAAAATGGGATCAAAATGTGAGGAGTGGTTATTTCCAGGTGGCAAGGTAAAGCTTTGTGGTGGTAGCTTGTTTTCTTTCCTCTCTGTGTACTTAAAAGTTTTCAAATTCTCCATGATGAGGACATATTTAGTATGACAAGGTATGACAGGCCAGATGAGCACCAAACATCTGTGGATGCTCAGATAGGTTGGTTATTTTGGAGGGGGGGGGGAGTGTTTGGTTTGATTTTCCTTTTAGCGTTTTCTTAGTTTCTGAAACATGACCTCACTTTATGTGTGGCCCAAACCCAAGCTTGAGCTCATCAAATAGCCAAGAATGACCTTGAATTTCGGATCTTTCTTTATGAAAGGAGGGATTATAGGCCTGTTCCTTCAGTCCCAGTTTTATGCAATGCTGAAGATCAAACCTAGGGCTTCAGTGTTCTATGCAAGCGTCTGCCAGCTGAGCTCCGGCTCCAGAGCACTGCCCCCTCCCCTCAAATATCAAGTCAGGTATTGCAGCACACATTTGGAATCTCAGCACTAAGGATGCTGAGACAGGAGCCAGCTTGGGATATAGCGGGACTATGTCTTAAAGGGAAAAAAAGATGAGGATGCTGGCTGGAAAGATGCCTCAGTGGTTAGTTTTACTGTGTTTACAGAGGACTCAGATTTAGCTTCCGTACATCCACGTGGCACCTCATAACCACCAGTCCCAAGGGATTCAAAGTCCTCTTCTGACCTCTGTGGTCTCATGCAACTAGGCACACATATACATAAAATTTATAAGTACTGGGGCTGGAGAGATGACTCAGAAATTAAGATTACTTGCTGCTCTTGCAGAGAACCTAGGTTTCAGGTCCCAGAACATGACAGTTTACAGACTTCGCTAACTCCCACTCCGAGGGATCGGGTTCCCTCTTCTGCCCTCCACGGGCACCAGGCATGCACACTGTATACTTATATGTAGGCAAAAACACATGTACATGTAAAGGTAAGTATATATTTTTTTAAATCTCTCATTTGCATGGGAATAATCCATGGCCATGTGGCAGTGAGGGCGCCACTGTACATCACCTTGCCTTCTGCCACATCGTTTGTATTTATTTGGTTTCTCGTTATGTCAGCTTTTTCTTTAGGGGGAGGGAGAGGCTGATCTGTAACTTGGAATCCTCCTGCTTCAGCTTCTCAATTTCCAACATCATTTTACATCGATTTATACTCATTAACCCAGCCCATCCGTGCTGGAATTTTATCTGTACTCCAAACCACCTGCTCCAATTAAACAGTGTTCCCCTTCACCCTCATCTCCCTCAGCCTCTGATAACCTTAACTGTCCGAGTTTGACCCCAGATCCACAAAGAGGAGGAGTCATGCACTGTTTGTCTCTCTATATCTGTTTTAGTTCACTTAGCATGTCAGTAAGCTCTGATCATGTTGGAGCATGCGCAATGCACACACGGCATACAAACACAGAATCACAAAATAAATTCTAAAAAGATACAGAGTGATTGAGAAAGACACGACATTGACTTCTGACATCCACATTCACATATGCACACATGTGTACAAAATAGACAAATTAAAAATAAACTTAATGGGACCAGGTCTTCTCCCCGGGGCATAAACTGGATTTTTTAGCCCATTCTCTATGGTGGAATAACTGCTCAGCCTTGATATGGGGGGGGGTTTCCTGCCTCAATTTGGTATGCCAGACTTTGTTGACTCCCCAAGGGAGACCTTATCCCTTCTGAGGAGCAGATGGAGGGTGAGATGGAGTGAAGGGGGGGGGGCCGGGAGAAGGGAAGGGAGAGGGTACTGGGGTTGGTATGTAAAATAAAAAAAATATTTTAAATGAAACAACTAAAAAAAAAAAACAAAAACAAAAACAAAAACAAAAAAACCTTTGTGCTGGTTGTGGCACACAACTTTAATCCCAGGACTAGAAGCCTGGTTCGTAATCTTGCTTGTGAGAGTCCTTTGTAAACAGTTTGATCAGCTGTGTTGAAATTCTCAACCTAGTCAATGAGAGACCTAAACCAGAACTGGGAAATGATGGCATTTTGTTTATTTGTTTTTTCGAGACAGGATTTCTCTGTCGCTTTGGAGCCTGTCCTGGAACTAGCTCTTGTAGATCAGGCTGGTCTCGAATTTACAGAGAGTCACCTGTCTCTCCCTCCTGAGTGTTGGAATTAAAGGTGTGCATTACCACCAACTAGCTGATTTGGTTTTTTAGATATATTTATTTTTCTTAAAGATTTCTTTATCTTTATTGTGTATGTGTGTGTATACAATGTGCGCAATACCCAAGGAGGCCAGAAGAGCTGCCTGGAGGGTGCTGGGAACTGAACCCATGTCCTGTGCAAAGGCGGCAGCTCCTCCTAACCCCTGTACCATCTCTCCTGCCTCAAGATTTATTTTACTTTTAACTATTTGTGTATGGGGAGAGGGTGCACGTGTGAGTGCAGGAGCCCTGGGGTTCAGTAGAAGGCTTCAGGTCCGCTGGTCTGGAATCACAGGCAGTTAAGAACCATGTGGCAGGAGCACTGGGGACCACTCTGGACCTCTGGGAGAGCAGTAAGAGCTCTTGACAGCTGAGCCGTCTCTGCAGGCCCTGCCGTCTCCTTTTTTAGGCAGCCACATGGGAGAATGAGGCTGCAAGCAGAGCCAGCTTATCGGTGTGTCCAAAATAGTCACAAGCCCACCTCAGAAGGACACATCTGAGAACTAGCAGAGGGCCCCAGGAACTCTGAATAGACAGTGAACACAGACTGGGCCCCAAAGTTACAGAAAAAGCTGAGTTTAACTCAAAAGCTATAAGGTTACATAAAGTTCAGGAGCCCCGACCCTTCCTACTTGTGAGAACTGGATAGGCTTTGAGGGCATAGCTTCCGTTTCTGAATGTCCACCCTTTAATCCTAGCACGCGGGAGGCGGAGGCGGACAGATCTCTGTGAGTTCAAGGCCAGCCTGGTCGATAGAGTGAGTGCCAGGACAGCCAGAGCTACGTACAGAGAAACCCTGTCTCTGGGGGCGGGGGTGTGAAGGGAGGGGGAATGTCCATCCCAATTAATTTAGTTTTACAAGCTCAAGCATCAAGCTTAAGTGCACGTATAAAAAGGACCCAGCGAAGGTGAGGTTTGCAACATCTTTTTGCATCCCTTCCTGGTTCTAGAAGATGCTTCTCTACCGCAGAAGAGTTGTGACTGCTCTACTGTCCTCTGATGTCATTCTTCAAGGCCACAAGGCCACAAACCCTGGGCGCCACTGGCACAGAGTGACTTGAATGGCCGCAGAGTTTCCATGGCCTCAATTCTCTGACCCAAGCCCATCTGAGCAGATAAAAAGATTCTGCCACACTCAGGGAGCCCTGCAACGCCTTGATGCCCTGTAGAGGGAGCTCCTGAAGAAAGGCAAATGAATTTGCTTCCTGAGATTGCAATTTTGGGACTGGAGAGGTGACTCAGGGATTACAAGTACATGCTGCTCTTCCTGAGGACCAGGGTTCGATTCCCAGCACCTACAGGAAGAGTTACAACCATCTGTAACTTCAGTTCCAAGGGATCTTGATATCTGGCCTCTGTGGACACCGACTTAAATACATACATGCAAGCAAAACACCAATACACATAAAATGAAAATAAGTAAATCTTAAAAGAAATCCTTTTTCTTCGGTGTCTCTAACCCTGCATAGTTTTTTAAGGCCTACTATTTTGTCATAATATCAAGACTGACAGCCAGTTTAAAG